ACCATGGGAAGCTATTTCCTATTTTTCTAAGCAATAAACTTGAAAAAAACTGGCTGTCCTGTCCTTTTAGTTTGAGTCTCTTTGGAGAAAAGGTGTCTGCTAAATTGCATGCGCTAAGTTTATGTAAAAGACATTTGGATAATGTAATATTGCTGTTTTTCTTTTTAAACGGAACTCCAATTGTATACTAAAGTCCATGGAGGTACAAGACATTTTACCATGGAAAAAAACATGGGATCTGTCTCAAAATGGACTAACTGGCAGTAAGGCTCTGACTGAACTCCTAAAAAGCATCATGTAACCTCAAAATATACTGTTATTGATGCACTTAAGTTGTTTTACTATTATTCTGTTCAGTGCGCTCCTGGCTAAAGTAATGTAAAAAGTATCAGCATCATGGACACGTTGACTTTTAAACCGTTTTTTTTAGATGAAGGTGTTGGAAAAAGTACAGGATGGATGGTTTAGCTGTTAGCCCTTTCCTCCCCGACAGCCTCGGCATGAACACTGAGGAGCAAAGGGTGACCAGCTGGCCATGGGTTCTTATCAGGGTTTGTGCTTTAAAAGCCTTTGAGGAATGTTGGCAAAATGCCACCCTTATTCTGCTCGCTGCAGACCATCGGTTTACAAGGACTGTGCTTGGAGGAACATTCTTGTTGAAATGCTGATCTAAGATCAGGTTTCCTGGTCCTCAGCACTAGTTGAACTGTACTGATTTTTTTTGTTGTTGCATTGATACAGACATGGTGTAGTTTGTAGTGCTGGCTCTGAAGGTGCAAAATCTCTTGTGCTTGAATTTATGATGCTTTTAAAACAGCTAATGAAGACAAAATGTAAACAGGATGTAAAATAAATAGTTCACTCAAAAAATGAAGGCTCTATAATTTTTAATCATCCTCATGTGGTTCCAAAACCATATGCTTAATCAAATTTATGAAGGCTGTTTCCATACAAAAACAGTTCATAGTGACCTCCTCCTCCAAAAATTGAGAAAAAAAGCACCATAAAAGGCAATACATCATGTGAATAATGTTCCAGGTCTTTTGAAGTCATACAAAAATTTTGTGTGAAATTTACATTATTTTGTAACAATCTTCAATAATCCCTTCCAGTGAGTTGTTAACCACCGTGAATGATTGCGTTGAACTAGAGAGTGGAATCAGTTGTGTTCCTGAATTAATTGTTTTGTTCGATTTATGGAAAGGGTTAGTAGAGTGAAAAGAACTGGCTCAAAAGTGTGATTCATGAACTAATTAGATTGATCCGTTTCTTAAATCCAACTCGGTGATTCGGTTCCAGTGAATTATTGAGTTTGTGTATAACGTCCTATATGTCTGTTTGTTCCTTACAAAATGACTTGAAGACTTGAAATATATATATAACACACAAGTTGATTGATTACATTTAAAGACTTTTTATCCTTAACAGACTCACTATCAAGACCTGTGTGAAGATTCTTCAAAAATGTCTCTTTTTTTTATGTTCCACAGAAAAAAAGTAAACAGCATATGGGTTTGGAATGGCATGAGAGTGAGTAAATAATGGCAGAATTTTGATTTTTGAGCGAACTACTAATTTAAATGCCAGATTTTATCTTGGATTTTCCACACTGAGTTTTGGATTTCACCCACTCTGCTTTGAGAGTACACGCAGAGAAGATTTCTGTCCGGCACTGACCAGGTGATTCTGGTCTTCTGACTGTCACTTTAAATCGAACAACAAGTGATAAAATGCTTTCTAAATATTGAATGTTTATATAATTGCCACTTTCACACACTCAGGCTGTTCATTATTACTTGAGCTATATGAAAGCCATTTAACAAATGCAGGTAGTGCAGAATTCGTCGAATTAAGAGGCTGCTCTGCATGAGCATAACTAATTCACATTGCCCTGAAGGGGATTTGCAAGTTGAAGATCATTTTGCAATATTAAACATGGCTCTTATTAGATCAATTTCTCTTTTTTGTAATTCATATTACTCTCTGGTGATACAGGCAGCTGGAGTACTGCATTTCCTCTGTGTCTGCATACTGTCTTTATGCAAAGCAAACTGGGCCGAGAGACAGATAGAGAATAAGGTGCATGGAGCGAAAGAGAGAGTGACATGGAGGGAGATAAAGAGAGACAGACGGACTGACCAAGAGAATAAGGAAATGCAGCGGAGACAGGCGGTGAGATGGGAGATTTGTGAAGACTCGGGTGCTGTCAGTAAGGAGCTGGCTTGAGCTAGTGTCTCATTCTCACACGGCAGATTGGAAGACCAGATTGCGCTCTGAGATGCCCTGAGATTTGGGCAGCTTCCGATGGGGGATTTGTAGAGATTTGGTTAGAAATCTGCCCATAATGAATGTTAAGTGAAAAGCGCCTTCATCATCTTCTCAGCAAAGACATTGTTTTCTCTGAGCGCTTGTTCTGTTAGTTTTGGCTCGGTGTCTTAAGTGTCACTGTCCTGAGATGACAGTCTATAGCTCCATTAACTGGTATGTGCAGACCACACAAACAGACGTTTTATGAATGAAAACGCCTCATTTGTTTGTCTGTGGAGACAATAGTTGAGAAGATGTTCTTCAGACGCAACAGACTTTGCTGTTTTTTTTTGGTGTTTTCTATGGCTGTCATGTTTTTTTTTAACATTTTGGCCACTTTGTGTCCCAAGGTATTGGTGTTTTTGTTTGTTTGTTCATGTATTAATAACATTGCTAATTTCAGATAACTAAAGATTTTTTTTCACATTCTTCCCAGACCCAGACTTTCAATCATGAAAATTATGATAATCCATTATAATTTCACTATTAATATTAATATTAGTAGTAGTATTTTAAAATAAGGCAATGGCTTTAAATAATCCCCCTATCTGTCTATGATTAATTTTTTTATTTTATGTTTTAATAAATTCAATATTTTTTATTCAGCAAGGAAGCATGGAATTGATCAAAAGAGATTTTATTCATTAAGAATCCTTAAAGTTTCATGGTTTTAGCAAAAATATTAAGCAGCACAACCTTTTACCATTGATCATAGGGCTACACAATTAATCGTGATTACAATTATGGATGCCACAATTACGTAATCGTTCAACGCGGCAAATAATCGTTCAAAGTCCGCTTATGTTATTCTGCGTGCTTAAGATGCGTTGTTTTCTTTCTACATCTTATCTTAAGGGTTTTCCCCATTATTTTAATGTTAGTTTTAGTATAACATTATAATACCATTCATCTTTTTTATTTTTTTTATAATTTAAAGAAGAAACCAATCCGATGTTTAGTTGATATTTGAGGCTTAATACTATAGAAAAGCGCTAAAAGTTTTTCACTTAGAGTGTTTTCAGCTTGTTTATTTTCATATAAAAATACGACATGCAGTTGCATAATACAATGGTATAAACATCATTCAATGTAAATTGTGATAATCGTAATTAATAATCGCAATTACAATTTCAAGGGGATAATCGACAATTATGATTTTTGTCATAATCGTGCAGCCCTAATTGATCATAACAAAAAATGTTTAGCCTATTGAGCAAACCAGATCAGACAAAATCACCACATTAGAATTATTTCTAAAGGGTCATGAAACCCCCTGTTTCAGCACTGGTTAGTTCTCACAACAGTTTAAAAAAACGCTAAAAAAGTGGGCGTGGTGCACAACGGAGTGGAGGGGGAACAGGGGAGGCAGACAACACACACGGCTTTGGGTTCAGACAGTTTCATTTCGCTCCGAGTTCGAGTTAAAAACACAAATAAACTAAAGGGTCATGAAACCCCCTGTTTCAGCACTGGTTAGTTCTCAACAGTTTAAAAAAAACGCTAAAAAAGTGGGCGTGGTGCACAACGGAGTGGAGGGGGAAGAGGGGAGGCAGACAACACACACGGCTTTGGGTTCAGACAGTTTCATTTCGCTCCGAGTTCGAGTTAAAAACACAAATAAATGCACAGCCATTATTATTTGTATCGAAAACATTTATATGAATGCGCTGTTGCAGCTATGATAACTCTTTAAGGCTTATTCTGCGGCGTTTATATAAGCCTATTGACGGGTTGTGTCACGGAGCTGTAAAAACGGTTAGGCTACACTAAGTGAATGAATCGCGTTTATACCAAACTCTTAATACAAAGCAAAAACGAACACTCTCCTTCGATCCATGAACGTTTTTATTTGTATCGAAAACATTTATATGAATGCGCTGTTGCAGCTATGATAACTCTTTAAGGCTTATTCTGCGGCGTTTATATAAGCCTATAAGCTTAATACAAAGCAAAAACGAACACTCTCCTTCGATCCATGAACGTTTCTCTCAGTTAATGTGCGTGATGTCATCTCACAGTGAAGCGTCTGTCATAGCAAATCAGCACATGCTGTTATGAATAATTAAGCAAAGCGTCTTCTCACAAGAACACGCAGTCTCATGAATAATTTAATAGACACCGGCGCGTCATCGATGTACTATCGTCCTTTGCCACGTCACAAATTGTGACGTCAATACGATACAGATTTTAAACCCGGAAGATAAAAATAGCGCAAAAAAGCTTCACATTAACCAGTTTTCTCCAACAGTTAAAATTATTGGATGCTAACATTGTCTTCTATGATGTGCAACACAAACACCTCTGCTAAAATCTCAGAAAAAGTAGTCTGGAGTTTCATGACCCTTTTAGACTGGTTTACTATCTTCTTAACATTGCAATCATAGGAATACATTTCAATTTAAAGTATATATAAAATAAATTCTTAAATTATTATATTAATATTTTTCTTATTATATTAAAACAGTTACTTTCCATTTTAAGTATTCAAATATCTCATAATATTACCATTTTGCTGTATTTTTGATCAAATAAGTACAGCCTCTTTGAGCATAAGAGACCCCAAACTTACAAAAAACTAGTAAATTTTAGAAGTGAACTTTTTTTATTTTTAATTTATTTATTGCACAAAGTGTGCATTGAAACTCAAAGTTATGGTCAACTCAAGTTTTATAAATGTTTGTCTTTGTTCTTAGGTCTGTTGTGGAATGTCACAACTTCCTTAAGCGATCCAGCACTTTACCCTCAGCTTAATCACCTGACTGCGGTCCTGCTGTCTGATTGGATCCAATTTTGAGGTAAGAACCTATGGCATGAAGTTTGTTGAACTGATCAAAGTCACTTGAACGGTTTGTTCCATTTTCTCCTCACGTCCTGCTCTTTTGTTGAAATTTGCTTGGTGAAGTAGAGTTGAGCCCCTCTGAAGGACAATGACTTGATTTGACAGAAAATTGAAATATCATCCAACTTCATTATTTTGGCTGGACTATTCACCCAAGGCCATCGCATGGGGGACAATCGGACAGAAAGGGGTGGCAGAATTATAATTGGGGTCAGCTGATGCAGACTCGATGGAAGGGATCTTTAGCAAGTCGGCAACGCTAAGATTTATTAGCACGTATGCCAGCTTCAGCTGCCGTGCATTATTTTACCCAGAATTCTGCTGCATACCATGTGGGTTTAGAAAGATTTTTCTTTCTCGATTTAAAAGTGTGTGGAAATTTGGGTTTGCATGGCTACATGATTAATCGAAAATAATCACAATTACTAATATGGGTGCTGTTAATTGTGTGAAGTACTGTTTACAGCATTTTTTCCCCACTGTATCCTATCCTACACTTATCCTACATTAGGATGCACAATATTATAATCTCAATTTTCCAATACTGATAAGCCACTAATTTACTAATTTATAAGCTGATAACTGATACATATCCAATATTAAAATTCTATACTATTTTATGTCTATTTTATTTTATAAGAATAAAACACTAAATCTGTCATTTTAAATGATGCTAGTGAATTATTTAGTTTGTTGAACTGATCAAAGTCACTTGAACGGTTTGTTCCATTTTCTCCTCACGTCCTGCTCTTTTGTTGAAATTTGCTTGGTGAAGTAGAGTTGAGCCCCTCTGAAGGACAATGACTTGATTTGACAGAAAATTGAAATATCATCCAACTTCATTATTTTGGCTGGACTATTCACCCAAGGCCATCGCATGGGGGACAACGTCTGTCAATTTTTAGAAGAATACAAATATAATTTAAAAGAAACATCTGACAGTCTGTCAGACAATCTGTTTAAATCAAGTCTCACGGCGAGCAGGCGACAAACGATAGAAAAGTATCACAGTTGGAGAGGGTAAAAGGGAGGTGGGCAGATTTTCAAACACTTCAGAAAAGAGAAACAAGCAGACGACGGAATCGGAGAGAGATCACTTAAGAGAAGACAAAACAGATGAGACAGGAGACTTGACATGAAGAGTGGGAAAAAATCTGCTGGAACACGCATGCATCACAGCGCACCTGTGCAAGGCCCTTTTACTCATGCCCCCTGTCTGCCCAGATATCCCTTAGAGATCAAGACGCATCCCACAACGCTGGACGCAGGGCTGGTGGTGACAGGCTCTGTTGGCCGGCTGCAGGGAGCAGATGGCTGGCCAGATGCAGGGTTGCGTTTGACCTTGGGCCCCGTGGAAGGCTAAACATCATAGGCGTCCTCCGGTGCTTCCACCTTTCTACCGCTCCATGGAGCCGCTGCTTTGCTCTGACAGCTTATGGTTGTTTTATTTAGATGAGCCATATGGAGCCATTATGTGCTCCATCGTTTAGCTGTTATCGCTATTCCCAGTGTAGTTTATCACCCTATGTGTATTCGAACAAAGACGAGTTCAAGTCCCCCAGACTGTCCATGACAATGGAGATACGTCATAAGATATGACTAATCACATTCAGCTCTGTGCTCGGACAGAAAGGGGTGGCAGAATTATAATTGGGGTCAGCTGATGCAGACTCGATGGAAGGGATCTTTAGCAAGTCGGCAACGCTAAGATTTATTAGCACGTATGCCAGCTTCAGCTGCCGTGCATTATTTTACCCAGAATTCTGCTGCATACCATGTGGGTTTAGAAAGATTTTTCTTTCTCGATTTAAAAGTGTGTGGAAATTTGGGTTTGCATGGCTACATGATTAATCGAAAATAATCACAATTACTAGGTGCACTTGCTCTGTTGATTGTAAATGTGTGTTTATCATGAGTATGCACATTCCAGGTACATTGGCATGAAAAAGTATTAACCTGATTTTTACATATTTTTCTACCTGAATATATTCATGCATTCACAATAAAAATGTAGGCAAAGGAAACACGGAAAACACAAAGTGTATATTTGTCGTCATGTGGTTTATTTAAAGGGATAGCCCACACAAATCTGAAAATTCTGTCATCATTTTTTCACCCTCATGTCATTCCAAACCTGTATGACTGGCTGACCTCTGTGGAACGCAACGTTTTGGTTCCCATTGACTTCCTTTTGTAATTTCTGTCCTAACAAACTGTTTAGTTACTAGAATTCTTCAAAATATCATCTTTTGTGTTCCAAAATAGTCAGTCATAAAGGTTTGGAATGACATGAGGATGAGTAAATGATGATATAATTTTCATTTTTTTATTAATAATAAAAAAGTAATAAATTACCCGTGTTGTCTCTGTGCAAAAGTAATTGCCCCCTTAGTCTTTGAAATCAACGGAAATTAAATTGGAGTCAGAACTCTTAAAGCCCCGATATACTTCAAACGAAGTTTGTTTTTTGTTCTTCGTTTGGGGGCAAAAAGAAGTCAAAAAGGCTGAGCGACGGTATACTATTTTCGAACATTCCAACACCCCCGTGCTGCTGGAGGCGGGGTGTAGACTAATGTAAACATGTGTCGCGATGCTCTGTGTTTCGAACTGCCGAAACTAACTCAAAATTAACTTCGTTTCAGCCTGATTTTGTTCAATGATGCCATATCAGTTCGTTCTTCGATTTTGTTTGAAGTATATCGGGGCCTTTAGTGGTGAATATTCCCAAAAGTGGTCAGAATTTCTCAAACGGCACACTGGCACCTCATCTGGAAAGCTTCAAATTATCACAGAAAAACTTTCAAAGAACTACAGGCTTCTCTTGCTTCAGCCAAGGTCACGGTTCATGACTCCGCAATAGGAAAGGGACTATGAAAAACGGACTTTAAGGAAGAGTATCCAGGTGAAAATTTCTGCTCACCAAGAAGAACATCAAAACTCACATCATGTTTGTTAAAGAAAGCATGCCATGATCCCAAGACCTTGGTTTATTCTATGGTCAGATGATTGAAAATGTAAATAGCAAATACAGCATTGTACTGTAAGAAAGTGATGTGTACAGTGGCATTATGGTTGACTTGGTATGTTTTGCTGTCCGTGGTGGCCTCTGTGACTTGTTATCGTTGAAAGTAGCTTATATTCAACCATATATAGATAATTCTTTAAGAGATTGTCTGGGCATCTGACCATGAGTTGAAGCTTAAGTGTAATTGTGTGATACAGCAGGACAATAATCCAAAACAGAGTCAAGTTGACATCTGAAGTACTGCAAAGAAACAAAGGCTCATATCAAATTACAGGTGGTGTTTGATTGCCGTTATTATTGTTTAATGTTGTCTAGCTAGATATTAAATTTAAGGGGGCATTTACTTTTTCCTCAGGGGTGATGAGAGTCTGTGTTAGCCAATTTCACTCAATGAAAATTTCACTTTGGTTCCCTTTGAGCAGCATGTCGTTTTGTTTGAAATGTTGCAACCATTTTGTTCTCCGAATAGGCAGTGGCTAAGGGGGCATTTTTTTGTTCACTGTACTGTATGTCATTAATACAACAGAAACTTGCAACTTATGCAAAGAGAATATTCCTTTATAAGCCTTATAAGAAGCTTCTTGAGTTTTCAGATTGAGTTTATTCCTTTTTTGGTGTGCAGAACTGAAAATGGTGTTAAAAGAACAAGCAGAGTAGCAGGAGGAGGAAGAGAAAAGGGGAGTCATAGACCAAAGCAGCGTCCCCCCCCCCACACCTCCTTCTGTTCTTATTCACAAATTGGTTTCTTAGGACCCAGTGCCACATTACACTTTGTTTGCGCATTGTGTGTGTTTTCTGCTGCCTTTAGTTTGTCTGTTTATCCATCAGTGCTGGGGATGGGGGGAAAAAGCTTGCACATTTGGAGCCAGGAAGCACCTCCTGGCTCATCTGTGTCCCTTAATCCTGAGAACAGCCATGCTGGTGAGATTGCAGGCCCCTCGGAGTCTCTCCTTCTGGAAACTTCAAAGTCAGGCATTGGCGATTTGGAAGACAGGGAGGCAAAGTCTGCAGGGAGCCTTCATGCAGGTCAGCCCAAATCTTTAGCTGAGAGCCCCTGGTTCAGTTCAGGTGGATCTGAGGCCAGTGTTGAGGGAGGGAGAGGTGCTGTTAGGCAGATGGAGAGGGATTAACCCCCTCCACCACCACCCATCTTTGAATTATGAATGTCCCTTCTCTCTTTATGTCTGTCAGCACAAGTCTTTGAACACAACACTCTTGTGTCCCTCTGTGCAGCTGTGTGTTATAAAAGGCATTTTACTGATTCTGTAAGTCAGAAGTCATTTCTTTCTTGTATACTTCTACTCTGTCATAGGCGGAGGGTGAACCAACTGTAGGCTAAAGGTGTGGAAATCCAGGTGTAGGCGATTATATTTTACTAGATCACATTATTTTTTGAAATAATACAGACTGCTTTGAGAGAATGTCTTGAATTAGATGTATTAAAGGGATAGTTCACCCAAAAATGAAAATTCTGTCATTAATTACTCACCCTCATGTCGTTCCAGTCCCGTAAGACCTTTGTTCATCTTCAGAACACAAATTAAGATATTTTTGATGAAATCCGGAAGAGTGGAAATAGTTGAGTGAAGTCGTTAATTTTGTTTTCTTTGCACACAAATAGGATAGCTTTTTAACATTACAGGATAAACCACTGGTGTCACATGGACTATTTTAACAATGTCTTTACTACCTTTCTGGTCCTTGAATGTGTCAGTTGCGTTGCTGTCTATGCAGGGTCAGAAAGCTCTTGGATTTCATCAAAAATATCTTAATTTGTGTTCTGAAGATGAACAAAGGTTTTACGGGTTTGGAACGACATGAGGGTGAGTAATTAATGACAGATTTTTCTTTTTTAGGTGAACTATCCCTTTAAGTGTAATTTTCGTTTAAAATATAAACTTCATTTTTTATTATTATTTATTAAATTTATT